GGCCTGCATGAGCAGCTCAAGAGCGCCCGCTCGCACCTGGAGGGGAAGGAGTCGGAGATCCAGGAGTGGTTGAGCAAAGTCCAGCAGCATCGGCAGGAGATCGAGGAGCGCATGGCGAAACAAGAGGAGGCAACAGGCGCCTCAGGCCGAAGCGCCGCCTGCGCCAGGCGCGGCAGCGGCTAGCGGCGGGGCCTCCGCGGGCGCGCCTGCTGCGGCGCCCGCAAGCACCGCCCCCGCCGCCGCGCCAGCAGCCGCCCCCGCCAAGGGCCCCGCGGCCCAGGCGGAGCAGGCGCAGCGCCAGGCGCGCATGGAGGCAGAGGCCGAAAAGCGGTCTCAGGCCAAGTCCCAGGCCGAGGCGCTCATGTCCAAGTCGAAGGGCAAGGGCTCGGCGGCCACAGCGGAGCCGCAGGCAGCGGCGGCGGCTGAGGCGGAGAGCGGCGCCGACGACCTGTGACTAGGGACCTCAGACACTACGACGAGGCCGCAACCAGCGGCCAGGGGGGAGAGCTACATTCCAAAGATGTCCTATGGCAATGCCACCTGTCTTTCGGATAAAACGTGGAAGTTCATCGAATCCAAGCCCAGGACATATCAGTATTGGGCCCTCGTCGAGACTCACGTCGCACTGCAGTCTGAAGTACGAGAGTGGGATGTTAAGGGTCGGACTATCGGACTCCGCATGCATCGCGACTGTGCACGTCGTTCTGGCAAGGTAGATAGTTTCCAGCAAGCAGGCCCGCTCAAACGGAGGGGGCGACATTTTCTTAGCCCAGGCGCACCTCCAGGCCCATAGTCTGCAAGAGGCCAAGGTTGCGCCAAGGCAATTCAAGGATGCAGATCAGTCAGCTCTCGACGGGTTCTTACCCATGATGCTTCATTTCTCAGGCTACTCTATTGTCGTCATTGTGCTTTACGGTCTGCCGCCCATTGCCGTGCCAGCCAGGAATCGCATTCGTTTTCAGCGCATAGGAGCACTTGCAAAATCCCTCAAGGTGCCCTGGCTCATGATATGGGGGCTTTAACATGGACCCTTCTGTCTTGCGCCGCTCGGAGTTTCCCCAACGTCTGGATGATGTCATTCGTGCCGCAGGTGTCGAGGGCACGTGCGCGCAGAAAGAAGGTCCTGACACAATGCTAGATCATGTTCTTTGCTCTCAGACCGCGCTTCCATTTGTCCAGCATGTCGAGGCAGTGCGGGCAGTGCCGCGGCGTCCGCACTTGGGGCTTGTGGTCCACTTTCGGAGCTCAGGGCTGTCTTTGCGCACGAGGGTTCTCGAGCTCCCCTGTAAGCCCTCACGAGCCCCGAGGCCCTAGCAGGACCCCACGCCAGGCCCTGAGTCCAGTCAGGCTCGGTCGCAGCGGTCGCTCGCCCGGGTCGTTGCCCAGGAAAAACGGCCCTTCTTTTACGCCGCCCTTTTTTGGCGACTGCTTCCAGGGGTCTCCGGGCTCTCGACCCATCCCGAGCGACGAAGGAGCTCGCGATGGGTTCTTGGAAGTAGAGGATGGTGAGTTGGCTGCCTGGCCCGACGAGGATGAAGATCCGTGGGCTGAGGAGCTCAATGTCTGTAGAGGCGGCTCGCTAGCGGCTGCTCTGGAAAATCCCTCGGCCCCTGCCCCGCCGCCGCGGGGTGTCCTTGGGGGCGCAGTTGGGCCCAGGGCCTCGGGAGGTCTGTGGTCGGTGCAAGGGGCGCCGCTTCCTGAGGCCCCGGAGCAGCGCAGCATAGCAGCCGAGCATAGCCTGTCACGTGGTCTATATCACAGCGTCTCACACCCCAGAACTATAAGAATGACCAGTTTGAATTCCAGCAAGTTTTTGATGGTCAGAAGCCGCGCCCAGCCCTGGAGGCGTCCCAACCTGAAGGTGCCGAGTTTAACATTCCCCCTGCCCTTTGGGAAAAGGTGAGGCCCCAGGTGGGTTTCACCCCGGGCGCTTCCCCTGTCTCCTCTGTCTCCCCTCTGCTGCTGCAGTCTGTAGCCTTTAGGCTAAAGCCTCAAGCCTGCTCAGCGGCGTCGGGGTTCCATGCGTCATGGCCCTCTGCCGCTGAGGCAGCCATCCTGGAGCACCGCGGGAAGCAGGCCAGCCCTGGGACCACGCGCGCTGCGGGGCCCAGGTTCTCCATGCAGACGCTGCGGCAGACACTTCACCTTCGTGAGCTACCGCTGCGTGATCAACGCAGTCAGTGGTGGACGCGACTACACACAGTATTGAAGGGCCTCCACAGGCATCGAGGTCGTGACAACGGGCCCAAGCAGGTGCAGCAGCTCGAGGAGGCGTGCCTGTGCTTGTACGGGGCCAGGCCTGCAGGGACCCACATCATCATCAAGGAAGGCAAGGGACCGCCGTGGTGCCAGTGGCTGGAGCTGCTACAACATCCTCGGCGAGTTCCACTCTCGGTCCTGGCCCAGTTCGTGGACAACGCAAAGAAGCTCATGGAGAGATCCCAGCGGGCGGCCATGCATGAGTCGCTCACAGAGTTTCGCACGTGGATCACCGAACCGA